ATGGGGATGCTGATGGTCGTGCTGGCTGATGTTGTATGTTGTACCTGGGGATGCTGCTGGATGTTGCTTGCATACATAAGGAGGCTTCGCATGCCCAGCCAGTGAGATCGTTCTGTCCGCTTTCTGTTCAAGCGCTACTTTTGATCTGGTTAAGCCCCTCATCTTTCCTGAGGCGTCAGTAGCCATTATGTCACAAGATTGAGATTCTTGAACACCACACGCCCTAGGCGCTACTCACCCAAGCTTTTTCATTGCGTTGCTTGAACAGAAATTGGCAGACTCCTTCAGCGTCTTCCCTCTAAGAAACCCCTCAAACAGCAACTAGATAGTCCCTCTGCCCGAAAATAAGGCCCAAGACATGAAATTCCGCCCCCGCCGAAAATCACTAGTTTCAAGCTTAAAACACGCTAAACCCTGTAAATAACGAGGAATTCCTGACCTGTACCGTCCGATGTCGCAGAGATTAATTTGTCACCCGAACTCGTGCTGAAACCACACGTTTGCTAGCATTCCAGCATAACGTAGCACTTTTTTTAGTACCCAAAACAACCTTGAAATATGCCTAGAACTGTGGTGGAAACACTACTTCAACACAAAATCAACGACAATAAACCATGCGGCGGGATATGTATGTATATATATATATATGTGTATATATATATATATATACACGTACACAAACTCTACCTTTGCATAGTCATATAAACATATATATATATATATACGTACATATACACACATAAACTTTTGACAGACATAGGTGGGTGTGTGTGTGTGTGTGTGTGTGTGTTCAATTTTGCTTAATGGGGGGCGATGTGCCGGGGGGTTGCTATTGCCAGTAGAAGGAGGAGCTGAGGTCCAGGTTAGGTGAGAAGAGGAGTTTAGGCATTAGATTCATGGGAGGTCGCGCAGGCTTGTTTTACATGGGATCGTGGTTGAACAACTCACACGCGCTGTCTTTGGCTAGACAACGGTACAACCCGGTTCGACATGTTTTTGAAGAACATAGCAGAAATGTTGGGTTCCGACGTCTTCCTTCGTGTGCAAATCACCGTGGTGTTCGTTTCACCCGGCCTACAGGACATCACCAACACGGCGCGAAGTCCCGCGAGCTCCGGCGAGATGTTCGCGCCCTCCCTGTCAGCGCTGGCAGGAGGGGTCAGTTCAACAACAGGTGAAGGTTTTGGGTTAGGGAGGCTGAAGAAAGAGGTCGAATTTGGCTGATGATCAGGGATCATGGGTGAGGGGAGGTACTGGGATTCTCAACACTCGATTTTATGCCGTTCGACATGTCAGAGTTCAGCTGTAGTTGGTGTACTGCCGTGTGTGTCTGAGTGGTTGTGGCATGGGAGGGCTGCAGAGGCTTCATGGGACACATCCCATGCTCGAATCCTAATCCCTACACCTAAACCCCTAAATCCCTGAACCCAACCTATAACTCTCCTTACCTACAGTTTAGCAGCCATTACCCCATAATTAATAGGTAGAGCCCATAAAACTGTAGGTAGTTAGAGTCCCAGGTAAACCTTATCCGGTCCCTAAACCCTAAACCCTCTGAATCCCTAAACCAAACCCCCTCTCAATCCCTAAAACCTAAACCTTATCCGGACCTTTCGTCGGATTGTGCAGACGGAAAAAGGAGCTGAACAAAAAAAAGCCTTATCCGGTTGAGGAGCTGGGGAGGCGCAGATCTACGCAGCTGGCGCTCTGGTGCAGCAGAGCTCTGGTCCAATGACTTTGTTCAGGGTTCAGGGCTTGGAGTGTATATTATGTATGTATGTAGCGATTAGGGTTTAGCATTGTGATGAGCATGGATGCAATGCTTCCTAAACCAATGCCACTAAAACCCCAAACCCCTAAAGCCCTACACCCCAAACGGCTAAATCCACGAACCCTACAGCCTACTAGGGAACACGAGGGTCTTGCTCTTACTACGGTTCTAGCTGCGGAAGTGATGGTTCCTTCGGCCACTGCTGCAGTCTCTTACGTGGTTTCGATGTTAGGATTTCCGACGAAAATTTTTGGGTTTAAAAGTAAAGTTTGTGAAGGCTGATAGAAGAATCAATCTGTAGCCATAAATGCAGATATTACGCTTGTAATTCGTTGACGACCGGCTGTTGCATGCGTACCGTTCTTCCTATAATTGAGGCTTTTCAGCTTCGGCCAATATATCTTAGGACCAAGCTTCGGCTATGTATGGGAGGTTATGTTTTTGTTGGTGATTCTAGGGTTTGTGGCTAGGGCTATGTTTTTGTGTTGGGCGTTGTTTAGCTGGGAGCTGCAGGTAGAAGATTCAAAGGACATCCGAGGCCGAAGAATTCCCCAAAACCATTAATGGGGTTAGGCTTACGAATTTGCGATTTAGGGTTTTGTTGTTGGTGTTCAGGGAATGAACAGGGTGCCTCTCCGCAGTGGTGTTTCAGCAGTGCTTCTCGAATCAACCTCGCTAGCGGTACCCGACAGGGACGCCCAGCTTAAACTTTAAAGATCCATAATTCGGATGGTGTTTGCAGTATGCCACCGAAAGCCTTAAACCCCCCAACCCTTTAAGGCCTAAAGTCCCCTAAACCTTCCCAGCACTCTTAAAGGAAGATCTCCGTGCGCGCCGACTATTCCGGCGTCCAGTCACTGGTACGGGATGAGGCCGGCAAAGCTTGTTTAAAATTCTTAGCAGGATTACGACTACCATTGTGATTATTATTGACGGTAGTGGTAGCATAGTTCGTAGTACTCGTAGTAGTTTGCTTAGTAGTAGCAGAAGCAGCAGCAGCCGTAGCACGAGTATTTCTTGTAGGCCCCAGAGCTGGATTCAATTTAGTCGGTCAGGGTTTCAGCTGTATGCATAGAGGAGGCTCAGTAGCACTTCCAGTCCCAAAGCCCTGTTGAAGTGTAGGGTTTAGGGTTTAGGGTTTCCCTAAACCCTTTGAAGTGTACGGTTTCCCTTAAACCCTCTGAAGTGTTTGGGGTTTAGGGAGGGTTTACGGTTTCCCTAAACCCTCTGAAGTGTTTAGGGTTTAGGGAGGGTTTACGGTTTCCCTAAACCCTCTGAAGTGTTTAGGGTTTAGGGATGGTGTCTTTCTGAAGGTTTGCGGCCTGGTCCATGCCTTCGCGCAGCTCGCCTGCGCAACAGCCTGACATGGAGAGAAGGCTCTGGCCACCCAAATCGAAAACTCGAAGCCTGAGGGTGCACAGGGCCTGAAGTTTCATACAACTTCATACAGCTTAGCCTGTCCTTAAGCCGTGCGGGGGCTCGTGCCTATCGGAACGTGTCTACCAGGGTGCCTGCAAGCCTTCTTCAGCACCATTCTGGGATCCTAAACCCTAAACCCTGAACCCTAAACCCTAAACCCGCTGCTACGGAAGTCTCTAACGTCAACTCGTCCAGGGCCTTGGGAGCTCCGTAAACAAGTGAAGCCTCAGCGGCGGGTCATATAGGGGCTTACAGAATTACCTATACTATTTTCGGGGTTCCTTATTATAATTATAGTATAATGGGCCCCAAAACCCTATTCTAGTTATTAAGGCCCCTACATTAGCGACAAGGAATTACAGCACGCTGACGGACGGACTCCACGAAGCTGCCGTGGCAGTCCTTCAGCAGCTTTCGGAAGCTTCTCGCCAGCAGCCCTGCACCCTAAAACCGGAAAATCCACGAGCTCTAAACCCCGAAGCCCTAAACCCTGAGCCCTAAACCCGAAGCCCTAAACCGTAAGCCCTAAACCCTAACAGCGCCAAGATCCACAGCCTCCTAAGACGAAGACCTCGGAGACTTCTAAAGCCTAAGCCTCAATTTCCAAGCTCCGAACGCTAAAGCCCAAACTTTTCAACCTTAGGGTTTAGGGTTTAGAGTTAGCCCTAAACCCTAAATTTTTTAGCCCTAAGCCGAAAGCTGGGAGGATCCCTCCCTTCTGGGGGTTCATTAGAAGCGGATTTACATGGGAGATCCCTATCGTAACTCTGTGCTTTTTCGGGGCCCTACGAACCAAATAAACCCTGAATCACTACCCTCTAAACCCCTGAACCGCTAATCTCTAAACCCAAAGAACCAGCCCTACAACCCATAGTAGTGCCTTTTGTGGCTACTTAGGATCCTATTAGGTAATCCCCAAAAGGAACTACTATGGGGCCTATGGGTAAACCCTTGTAAGGTGTAGACCCTAAACGCGCGTCAGCACAGGCTTTGGATTTTCCTGGTGCACCCGAGCCTCTGGAGCGCCGGATGGAAGGTGCCCGAAATGTTCGGGTGCAGGGACCTTTGTGGCCCTTTTGCAGAATCCCTTAAAGGAAGCCTTAAAGGATTTCTTAGAAGGACTTTAAAGGAGACCTTCAAGGATCTCTTAAAGGAAACGTTAACGGAAACCTTCATTAGAGTATCGCTGAAAGGCATCCCCTATAACGTTCCTTCAGGTTCTATAACTTTGCGCTAAAGGGTTGTTTGGGGTCTAGGGCCTTTTTGTGCTTGAGGGTTTGTTGCGTGAGGGTGTTAGGGTTTACGGTTTACGATTACAGACTGAGTTTAGGTCGAATACTTTGGGGTTGGAGGCTTAGGGTCTGTACGATTTCGACTTTGAGGAAACCCTAAACCCCTACACCCGAATCTGAACCCGAAGCCCTGAGCCTTAAGCCCTGAAGCCCCAATACTGAAGCCTAAACCGTAGAGTGTGGCTTCGGCTTTGAATTTAGGGTTGGGCTTGGCAAGGCTAGAGTCCGGAGATCACATCTACATGGACCCTAAACAGTGGTTCTAGGGTTTAGGGTTTAGGTTAAGGGTTCAGGGTGGTTCTTAATCTAAAGGCTATCCTTCGACGAAGGCCTATATTGGGCCTTACCCATGACGAAGCACTCCGATTCCGCGAGACTGCGTCGGATAGTGGGCTGTGGATCTTCAGTGGCGAGCATGCCGCATCTCTCGTTAATCTAGGGGCCGAAATAGTTACCAATACTATTTTGAGGGTTCCTGATCATTCTTTTGTATAGTATAATGGGGCCCGAAACCCGATTCCAATTATTAAGGCCCCTACATGAATCCACGCAGCCTTCAAGTCTGCAGGCACGTGGCTAGTCACTTGGGGATTCCTAACCTGCGAACAACATGCATACATACGTGTGTCCATGCATCTGTCCATGCATGCATACATACATATGTAAGTACATACAGAACCTAACATAACATAACCTAACCTAACATAACCTAACAAAACATATGAGCTTCATAAGCACATGCAGGATTGAAGTGTTCAGATATCCAGATTTTGCATGTGGAGCTCGGGGAGGTGCAGTTGCTGCTTACTGCTCAGGGATGACGGCCTGAAGGTTCGTAATACCTCGGGCTCTCAGCTCGGCTGTGTTACCCGGAAGTCCTTGTGCTGAGGATCCTCTTTTTGGGGGCCTACCTGGACCCTAAAGAACCTACTTTTTTAGGGTTCCCTATTATGGTTTCTTTATATAAGTCCATAACAATGTGGGTTATTTAGAGTTAAGGTAATGGTCCAACATCCAGCTGTTACACTGGTGGGTTCTTCTCAGTCAGTCCTATGCTCAAAGTTTAGACTTTCACCCCCTTGGTACTTGCGAAGTAGAAGGGTCAACCTGCCCAAGGGGCTCCTAAGTAGTTCCTTTTTGGATAGTATAATGTAAATCCTTAATTACCAAAAAACTAGTTCCTTTCTGCTTAGTATAGTATAATTCCTGACCAAAAAACCAGTACACTACACCCGAAAACACGAATCGGAAGGCAAAGACGCCGTGCAGCCGTCCATCCTCTTCGACCAAGGTGGATCAGACATCCGGTGTAGGGTTTAAGTTTAGGGTTTAGGGTTTAGGGTTTAGGTTCAGGGTTTAGGGTTTAGGGTTGAGGATGTAGGATGTTCTGAAATTTCCGGGGCATTGCGATTGCGGGTTTAGGGTTTGGTGCACAGTGTATGCGGGGCTTTTCATGCACTCCATGCACGGGCCCTGCATACAACTGCAGAAGGGAATCCATGAAGTACACATCAACATGAAATTCAGCGACCCTGAACCTTCTCTAAGCCTGCAGCCAGCTTAGTTAGGAGTCGGGGACTGGCAGACTCGTGATTGACGACGGCTTGGACCCGGAAATTTGGTTGCCGTGCGGCATGAAACACAGGAGTCTTTCAGTCAAAGACGAAACT